GGTGGGTATTCGCAGATGAGGGTTGACTTGGGGTGAAGAGCCACTATAACTTCGCAGTGGTACTTGCAAATGAAATATGAGGCATAAGTTCTCTACTTAAAAATGAGAAAACTATTGTGTACTTTTTCCCTGATAGTGTGTCAAAGTTGGGAATCCGCATGCAAATTAAATGAATAAAAAGTAAATATAAAAATCCTCGAAGACTTAGTTCACTATATTTAATGCACCGGGAACAAAATAGGTGGTAAAACTCTCACAAATGCGTGTTAAAAACAAAGGATTGAGTAAAGTGATGTATTGAAGAAGGTGGAAATTGGACTCACAAAAGTCTTGATTGCTCAATAGTTTACTGCTATCGTTACGAAAGAGCTCCGCAAAGATTAGACAATATAATTATAAAATCTGATTTAGGTAATGTTAGTAGAAAACATGGTTGAAGCTGACGTGCTATATTCTGAATGCTCTTGCACGCCAAAAATAATGGCGGTGCTGGGAATCGAACCCAGATTGAAACGGTTCTTTTGCGCTTTCGACCACAACGTCACGTGCTACCATTACACCACACCACCGATGACAACTAACGACTAATAACATTAATATTGCATAGAATTATTGACGGCAATGAAAGACAACTGGGACCGATATGCCCTAGTTTTCCTTAGGGAGCTTTCCATCGACTCATACTCTCGTTATCGTAAGGAAATCTCATTTGCTAGACCGTTTCTCTCCAGACTATACGCTGCCCACTCAGGACATGGTGACTTTGCAGAATACCAGCGCCGTCTCAATCACGAGGGCACTAACCTTCATTGTGGCTGCTGACAGCTCAAAGCCCCATTGCACTTCCTAGAGTGCCACTTAACCACCCTCAGACCACCTCGAGCTCCAGCATCCTCAAGGGACCCAAAGAAATTTTTGCTAGGAACCTGGGAAGGGGTCCTACGTGTAGCAAAGTGGCTTTCTCTTTCTGAGTTTTACATATGGACCTGCCCTAGAAATGCCAGAGAAGGGATAAATAGGTCTCAAGCTCTGCCTCAACTTTGAGCCTTGCATTATGGATGGATGGTGCGGTATTTCTGATTGGATCTATTAGTAGCATCCCGAGAGTGGCGGTAATACATCAAAGGAATAATGAGCCTTGGGGACTGGCTGTAAAAGTGCAGGTGCTACGCTACACGCAATCATGTAATTAGAGAATTGCCCTGCAAACCTAGTTAGGAAGTAGCAAGGGCGAAGTCACCAGGGCAGTAAGCACTGGCGTCCATGCCTCTAGGTAGTTTAGTGGGTAGTAGGGGCCTAAGTCGAGCTTGAGGCCCCGACGGACGAAAAATAGGAAACAAACAACCCTATCGCATGTTTTATCAAAAATGAATTTAATTCGCAACTTCGTTTGCATTTTCACGGTGTTTCGCCAAATAATTCTGAGGCCTATGTCAAGCACCAGCTTGAAGAAAAGTTCTCCATATTAATCTGCTCTGATGGCAACTCAAATTCTTATAGGCGTAGATATGGATGCTGCTTAAGGCGCTTAGCTGAGATGATAAAAGGTGTAGTGATAAAAATGTGTTATGATCATGGCATGGGTAGGTATGAAATGTCGAATAGGCTAGGGATAATAGAGAAGTGGATAACGATTATCAGAATTTGATTATATGATGAATAGCTTAGTTATAATCATCTACATCTCAAGGTGGTAGATAGGACTTATGCACACACATTTGGTGCCCACTGTCACGGTTTGACCGTTGTATGAGCTTAGGTGGATACCTAAGCGTAATACTTAGATTGTTTACAATAAGGTCGCACGGGGAGGAGAAAATGGAACTAGACGAAACGATAATACTAATCAGGACGCTAGATCGCAGTTACAACTAAGTAATACCCAACGATACGTGGCTAGTTAGCGAGTATGATGTCTGGAGGAAAGCCACCAGTTAGTAGATACACGCAGCGGATCAGTCATTATAAGTACCTGTTATTTGTAGCTAGAGTTCTCTTCTCTCCTCATATAGTTTAATAAATCGACTTATTCATCACCAACTCGGTTTCCGTCACACCCACTACAAAATACACAACCCGTTAGATTCTAGAAAAATTGGGACTATCAAGTAGGCCAGATTGCTGGTACACACGTGACTACAAACTCTGTACTTAGTTCCACTTCGATATATACTTGAATCAATGCGTTTTACAACCTCAATGACTGAGGAGTCATTATTTCCCTAATATAAACTTCTATGCAGGAAGTGCTACAATCTTAGTTCCATGCCATACTATCCCACATCACTATGCCATTGTGTACGGCTGCGCTCCAATTGTCGATCATAATGATAGCCATTTAGGGCTATGCAGTACTAGCATAGATGTGTTGTATCCCTGCCACTTTGCAGAGATAAATTTGAAGGAACTGCGATATTCACAATACAACAGCTGCCGACAATACGAAAGGTGAGGGCCTCTTTCGGAAAGAATCCAACCGTCGTGTGAAAGGAATTGTGGCGGTTTTCGTGCTGCAACCAATGGGTGCTGGATGGGGCAAAACTCGTCTGTGTCCGAGCGATGTTCTTGATGTCAACAAGCGTAGGGGAAACCAGATTTGACACCGGATTCTCAATGGTACGTGGAATGCGTCTGAAAATATATCCAACACGATCCTCTACTCGATGTAAAGTTCCTGAAAGCGAGGCCTTGATAGAGTCAGTATATTTCATTGAAAGTGCCAGAAAATCCTCGGACAAAAAGGTCATGCTGAATCCGCTTGGGTGCGTAGAATGGAGGCAATACCGTCCTTGAGACCAGAGATAAATTTCATGGGAGAAGCTTTAATAGCTGTAACATCTATTTTAAAGAGAGAGGCTCTCTCAGTCAAGTGAAAGATTGCTTTAGGGCCCTTAGATTTTACGGTGGTCTTTTGTGAGAGAGTCAATTATTGGAGATGGGTTGGGCCGAAGCCGAGAGAACAGAGGCGAGTGGGCCTGCGGCGGTCGCTGCCCATTCATGAGGTTGATTTCATATAGGAGCAGGAGGGCGTGAGGAAATATTTTGGCTGGGTTATCTTGGAGTCACGTATGAATCAACCTAGTGGTCTAGATTTTTTCTTGGGTAGAAGTGAAAGGGTCGCAAGAAAGTTGTTATTCACGACCATATAGATCTAGGTACAAAAGAGGACCTTAAACAGAAAAGGAAAATATCTTGGGGGGATCAGCCTTTACACTACCGCTAGCTGTATGTCAACCTTCATCACTTAGACAATTTAGTTATGTCTAAATTGTAGTAGGCTATGGCCTATGACAAGAAGGTACCGTGGAAAAGATGATTGAATTCTACGGGTTAGCACTGAGTTGAATGGCTATCCATCATTAACAATATATAAGAGATCTTTTTTCGTAACAAAAGAGGACAGGAGAAATGTGTGGTCTGGATTAGAGAGGAGCTTGATGTATTGAATAGTCTCAGACTCAAGTAGCACAACAAAGCCAAATCATTGCAACTTGATTGAGCTTTTCCAAAAGTACCTTCCAAACTGTACGCAGCAGGGAAAACCATCTGACCTTATCTTCACTGGACACCAACGACAAAAATATTGGCTAGATCAGGTATAGAAAGACTAAAAAACTTATCTTAATCAGAAAAGATTCCATTTATCAATTGGAGGCATGAGAAACTGTCATAGTCTCTAGGACTCTTCTTTCTGACAGTGAGCCAAAGAGTATTTTACAAGGGTAAAGCTGAGCCAGTCCATAGTATTTCCATTTCTGTTCCAAATATTATGACTTTTCGAGCATGGAGTCACGAAATAAGGTCGTAATCTGAACCATCATACGAAATATATTTTGGTTTTCTAAAATAATGATAACACAAGAATAACTTCAATACGGAACAAGAGCATCTGTAAGAGAAAAAATTTAAAGGGGTGTGACTAAGAGAGCCCTGAGATCAACATTTCATATGTATCGCATACAGTGAATGGGAGGAGTCTGTACACTAGATCTCGCAACACATAGGCCTCCCAAAATATAATACCCCAGGCATGATACTCTAGGCCTGTAGGCAGAAAGGACCTGCATGTCCTTACACAGTCATAGACTCATTAAGACAATAAACATACTCACTCACTCCCAAGATACTAGTGCTGGTATGACATAGGTCATAAGCTGATGCTCTATTAATTTACTTCAATTTATGAGAGTACTCATTTAAGCAGTTTGAACGATCTTCCCGAAGAAACGAGTGTTCATGGTTGATTTGTATTATTCTGTTTTATGCCATGGAATTGCTATCTATCTCACATTCGGATCAAGCATTACCCGAATGTCAGAATCCACAATTCAAGAATAATTCAACGCTGTGCAAGGACCAGAGTCTAGCTAAATGTAGCTAGGGAAACCATTCGGTCAATTGATCCACTCATAAATATCACTAGATCCTCTACTTTCGTTTTCGTTGAATTGAATGCATCTATTCCGAATTATAGTGAGTATTAAAGTCTTTCATAATATGTGAGAACCTACCCCTATTTCCTTAATATTTAGAGGGACTCAGATGAGACGGCTGGCTCATTATATTTTAAATTTGTTATTTTTTACCAATTTTTAATTGAAGAAATTGGGCGCGTATATATATAGTTTTGAAAAAATCCCAACTGCCATGCTAGCATGAATAGATAGGATGTAGGTGATCCTGTATTCGTTGACCATAACACTGAGTTAACTCAGGTAGATCTGGGTGTATCTGTAACTAGGTTTAGATTCAAAAACTTGAATCAAAGCTTCAAATTTATAGTCTTTTGCTTATTTAGAATGAGGCAGTACAATTTCTGCTTAACATAGTCTTAGATACTTGTTACTACTAGGTTTTTCTGGTAGACTTAAATCCCGGTTCAAAGTTGTATCTTAAGGTTTGCTGGTTAACCCATGTAAAAGGATCCTACTAAACAGGGAAACTGAACTATTTTCAAAGTGATATTTCCGTCTCAGTTATTTGCTGATAATACTGAGATTTTATTTCAGATATTTTCTTACAAACTCAATCCAAATACCTAAGTTTTCAGAAACAGAAAGAATTCGACCAAGGTCAGCTTCAGTTAAAGTCTTCTTTCCTGGAGGACTCTCGGCGACGTCATCTATTAGTATATTCTGAGACATTACCTCGATAGATCCGTTCAGTTTAATTTCAAAAAGTACATCAATTACTTTTTTCTTAGAAGGAAAAAGAACTCTTAATCGAGGAAAAGGCACTGTATAGACCAAAACATCTACTCGTAGAGGCTCACAACGGTCGGATTTATCTGTCATCAAGTATTCAAACTCCTCTCGCTTACTTTTTTGCTTAGTTTCAGTAAAACTAGAGGATGAATTGAAATTCGAACTGGATATGCCAGATGTATTTTGAAGTATTCTTGACATTACTGCGTATTGACGTAGTACAGGTAGCATTTGAACCAACTGCCTTGGATGAGAAAATGGTAGCTCTTTCAAAGTTCGACCATAGTCTATCTTTTCGAAGTGCAAGCTAAACTTGTAATCCTTGAGTTTTTTTTGGCCCGGTTTGGGATATGTTGGAACCTGAACATCACAATAAATACTTCTAGAATCGAGGCTGATTTTTTCATCAATTTTAGGTGGAAAAATTAGCCTATCGTATGTTGTAGTTTGGTAAATATCGAGTGTTGCTTGTACAGAGTCGTAAATTTGAATGGCAAGACTGCTGGGTACTGTGAGAGGGGGGTAAAATTTGGCGACAAACATTGCATCAGGAAATTTCTGACCCCTTTGGACCCCTAACTCACTTATAGAGTCAGCATTTGTTGAAGGTAACAGTGTACTTTCGGGCTCCAGCCAGTCAAGTATTGGTTCCAGCTTAGTTGTCATCATTTCATCTTGATCATGAGCATTTTTTTTCTCAACCTCCGTAGATATCCAGTTCTCCGAAACACGTATTGGAGTATAAACTAGGTCTAATATTGTATCGCATTCGATAAGAATTGACCATACATTTTCTTGAGGATTTGACTTAAGCCTCCATAGATCTTGCCAGTAATCTAGACTTAAGCCAACTCGCTCTCTTATGTGCATAGCCGGTCTTCCACTCTTAGCACACATTATAAGTTTTTCGATATTTCCATCTTCTTCTATCTTACTATAATAATCCATTTCCCAGCGGTAGAGTCTATTTAGACTTTCAAACATACCGGCGATAGCCTCGTGACAATTCAAATCTGGAAGAGCACTCATTTTATCTAGCGCTGCTAGCCGTTCTAGATTTTCTGCGAAGCGGTTCAGCATTTTCGTTAGAGGATTCTCATTCACCTGGATTGTCAGATCTTTCAGTAGCAAATCACTTGCTATATCTGTATGCCTTGTTACAATCTCTGGGCTATCGGGGAAGGTTATCGATACTTTTTTGACAACATTATTTTCAAAATCAATGTCTAGAGCAAGAGTTGATCCCGCTATAATGAGTGTCCGCCTGTTGCTTCCGCTGGTAGTGTGTGATTCCCATAGACACTCAAATCCTACTCGACGCGCCAGTCTTTCGATTCCTGGTTCACTAACTCTACCTTTATTAGCTTTCAAGATTTCGGATACCATTTCTAGCTTTCTTCTACGGTCTTCCTCGTCATCTCGTCTCAAGCCTGATACACCACCTAACACATCAAGCCCTAAATCTCCAAGACCAGCAATAGAGCCTAAGGCTGTGGCTGCGCTTGGACTGTCATACCCAGTACCAAAAGAGCCTGCAGCTCCATGTCCATATGCAATCTGAGATGTTATGGGTGATTTCTTGAGTTGCTGGGGTGAAGGCGCGATGGCTTGTGAACCACGAGGAGTAAGAGCCGAGTGAACTTGATTACTTGGAGCAAGATATGCTGCTGTTAATGGTGGAGTTGCGACAGTGTTTCCAGGCGCAGTGCCTTTTCCAGGTGTTGGAGTTGACATTGTGACGATAGTACTGAGGTAAAATATTGCATTTCTGAGCAAAACTGCCACAATAAATTATCGCTTGAGCCGTGTTAACCCAGGTCTTTCACAGACTGAATTGTTGTAGTTTTCCCAGTCTGTAGACACATGCACTGGTTAGGCGAGAATCAACTTAAAGTATCTGAAAGGGATCACAAGCCGCGCGTAGTCGCGCAGATTTTGACGCGTACGTGTAGGACTGATGCCCGATACAGGCGTATGTGCACAATCGAAATAATGTGTGGCCGTTACGTGTTGGCTCTTGTATTCATGTTAAATCATTAAAATATAGATACTAACTGATCTTAGAAGCCTCCTGAAATCCGTGAAGTATTCCGGAATAATGGAATGAATATTGAATTGGCCCCAGAGGATACAGTAGGCCACACGCCTGAAATAACCTACAACCTTGCTCCAGGAAATCATGGACTAGTTTTAGTTCCATGGAAGCACTACAGTAGCAAAGATGATCCTTCGTCCAAAAAAAACCTATTCGTGCAAGGGGACGCATCGATGAATAAAGAAGTTTCAGAATCCAACAAGGTCAACTATCACCTACAGGTTAGGCAAAAAGGTTCCGGAAATAAATTGCCTACAGTTAATATTCTACAGACAATGAAATGGGGTATCGTCCCAATGTGGTCATCAAAGAATTCTGTAACTGGTGCGAGTCCTACACTCATTAACTGCCGTGACGACTCCCTAGCAGAAAACAAAAATATATGGGCATCACTTAAAAATAGAAATCGGTGTGTGGTAATTGCTCAGGGGTTCTACGAGTGGCTTAGAAAAGACAAAGATAAAATTCCTTACCATATTATGAGAAGGGACCAGAAGCTTATATGCATGGCAGGATTATTCAACAATATTTCAGTTGACGGTAGTTTGACTTTTTTTTCCGAATATATCTACTGATCACTATAGGAAACGATGATAACAAGAAGTTTTGCACGTATACAATCATTACAACAAATGCTAATGATCAATTGAAGTTCCTTCACAATCGAATGCCTGTCACATTCGAAATTGGATCCGAAGAACTGCAGACATGGCTGGATCCTCGTCAGTCAAAATGGTCCAAGAATCTCCAACAATTGTTGAAACCATATGCCGGAGAGCTGCAGATTTATCCCGTCAGCAGAGATGTCGGAAATCCGAAAAATAACTCACCTAGATTAATACTCCCAATAAAAACTAACGAGACAAAGACAAATATAAAGAATTATTTTACCAACTATCTAACAAAAACTGAATCCCCAAATATTGCTTCAAAATTATCTGAAGAAGTTGAACGTGGGATTTCCAACTCAGAAGATAAAGAAATTCTTTCCTGCCAAGTAAGCAATGAAATATTTGGTCTGATATGCAAAAAAAGATCTCAGCTTATAACCCTTAAGGCTACTGAAAAATATAATTTGGGCTCTAAGCGAAAGTCTGATCTACCTGATGATGCGCCACGGAAAAAAGACCGCAAAATAAATAGATGTCTATCGCACGAAATATCTACTAAAACATGTCCTAGACCAGAGAGAATCAGTGTTAGAAGTTATAAATCCCCGAAACCTAAAAGGTTCATAAACAAGAAAACGGGCTGTCAGGAGATCAGCAAATTTTTTGAAAAGTGACATTACCTTTCAGTTATGCCCCAAATCCTTCTCCTGTCGGTACTGTAACAAGAATTTACGATATCTTACAACAAAATTTATGTAAACCACTAGTTTTTATGCAATTTCTACATAAATTTTCAACTGAGCTGCTGCCAACTTAAAGCGCATTCATGAAAATCTAGAATGATTTTGGATTTAATTAATTTTTAATTAGGTTTAATTTAACGTAGAAACACTTAGAGTTAACTCAACGCAAGACGAAAAGTCCCAAATTGAAAGTAAAGTTACTCTATCAGTATGATTATCTGTTCTAGCCAAGTCATAGGAAACGTGATGTTCTCAAGATCGGCTGAGTCACAAACATAGTAACTCAGCAACTCAGGGATGCACGATTTATGGTGCATAACAAAAGAAAAGACTCTCCAACATTATCTCTTATATTACCAATCAAGGCCGAGGTTTGTGAATGAACAAAATCAAAATTTTCAAGTGCCGCATTCCAAATAGGTTCTCTATCTTTAAGTAGAGATTCAGGCATATATTTTGTTACCCATTACAGCATTTCTAAGTCGACTAAAGTATTTACAGAGTAATTCGAAACTAGAACCCTTCTATGTATATAGATATATTCTTGTCCATTACCCTATTATGTCCCTATGTACCGGCCCAAGGAAATAAATGCCCGCATTATGAAGGGAAAAGGCTTTGAAGCAAGAAAACCCAGATACCCATCACGATAACAAAATCCAGCTTAATGCCGAGAACGTTCTTTTCAATAACTGATTCGCAGTAATTTCCGTTACTTCCGTTAAGTACTCCATCGATAAGACAAAGCTCAGGAAAAGTTGAAAAGCGAAGGGACCTTTTCGTTCGGCGCAGATCTTTGAAGTAATGTGACAGCTGTCAAACCGAAAGACTCCTGTAGCCTGCGCTACCAGCGTAGACTATGAAACAGAGGTAGTCTTCGGGAAAGGTCTCGGAAGCCACGGAACTTCGAATATTCTCAGTGCACCTTCTGGAAACATACTGAAAGTTCATGAGGATAACAGGTGTACCGAGAACCTTCTAGGCAGTTGTCGAAAAGTTTCAATAATTCAGGTCACAGGAGAACCTTCTCGAAGGGCAGTAATCTAGAATGTATATAATGTAGTCTTGAGATTGAGAAAATTCTCTCCAGAAAATTATAATTAATATACTGTTCTTACAAGATTGCCCATGCATTTAGTACCGAAATTGTGACAAGTACTTAAAGAGATCGCCCCGATGGTCGTGCTTCTGCTGGTGATCTAGATTTTGCTACTTGGGCCATGACTTCGAAGTGTCCCTAACCTTGACTCTCCAAGCTCCTTATGGATGACCAGAGTGGAGCCTTACTCATTGGTCGGCCGAACTGTTTATGATTTTGCCAGAGTCGGTTTCCTCCGTATATCTACTATTCGTGTCAGAAGATCAATCTAAGTTTTCCCCACGCTAATCTTTCTACATGGTAGTTCCAATACACTGCTTTCTGTCATGAACGGTGTTCTTTGCCACATATTGCATAAAACACCCTTTTTCACAGACATTTCCGTATTTGGTGAGTACCAGCGCACTCTCACCAACCGGTTGTCTTACTATACGACGCCTATGTGTTAGCCCACTAGCAGCATTTGTAACTTTACTTTAGCTGGACTCTTGATGACAGCACCTCTATAGCGTAAAGCATAGCAGAAATCACGATGCCGTGTCGAAGTACTTGTGTTTTCGTTGCGTCAGATGGAACGCTGACCACGATTGACCCTGTGTTGCGGCTATTTTACTTCCACCGCTCGAGTTCCTTTCTATCATGTAGCCTTTTGATTTATTAATATAAGTCTGACTCTCTCGAATATATAACAGAGAATATATATATATATATATGTATATATATTTATTACTGTTGGAATGTATGTATTTTACTAGGCGCTTAGTGCGGTGCGTCTCTCTGTTGCTGAGTCATTGTATTGATGACTCAGCCAAAACCGTGAACTGGACGTTCGCAGTGTTCATAGATAGAAACAAGAACAACAAGAATCCATACCTCACTTTCGTACCTTTCGTTATGCATTGAACTAAACTTACGTATACGTAAAAATAAGGCCAATCGACAATTATACTACTTAAGTCATATACTGGAGGGCAAGACGGAACATCTGTACGCGGCGTCCACTACGAACCTGAGAGTGAAATATTCTCCCAGAGCCAAGTTCAGTCAAACTTCGCAATACCGAACAAGTTGGCCCACGAGGCAATGGTTCAAAATACTCCACCATATCAATCTTTCACTCCCAACGAAATCGATTCCCATCTAAGCCTCATCAAATCTATAAGTACGACCCCGTACATCCTCATTCAAATGGGCACACCACTCGTCGACTTTCTCTGGCCTCAGCTGGTCACCAAATACACGCCCACTCCGATATTTATTTCCGCAGGAAAAAGAAAATCGTGGCGCACAGATCTGGAAGGTAGTTCTTTGGGGTGGACGAGAGAGGGATTAGGACAAGTTCACAAGATAATTCAGAGGACATATACAATTTTGATAGGTGTGAAATTTCGAATCTGGGCAACGAGATTTGCACATTGGAGAGCATTGTGCGGGCCAAGCTTTCGATTACGAGAGTGCAGCTGACACTACAAACAAAAGCCGATGATGTTGATGTTCTATGGTATAGTTTGGGTAGCCTGGGCACCTACTCTACTTTGGAAGGAGACGTCTTAGACCATATTTCATGCGGAGAAAATTCAGTTGATGATGGAGGTAAGTCTGGAACACTCAGGGTTTAAGAGACGTTTCCCTTGGCGGGTATCCACAGATGAGGGCTGACTTGGGATGAAGAAAAAGCCGCCATAACTTCGCAGTGGTACTTGCAAATGAAATCCGAGGCATGAGTGCTCTTCCTTTACGTTGAATCATCTCTGTACTTTTCTTTGATATTGTGTCATAGCTAGATAGCTGCATACGCAATTAAAATCTGATGCAAAAAAAAAAAAACAGATTTCTTGCGCTTATCTATTGAAATAAGCACTTCCTTGAGCACACACCTTCAAGGATTTTGTGATCTCGTTCTCCCTGTAATCAAGCAACTACCGGTTACTCAACCATCGCACCATGGCATTCACTGTGGAAACTCGAGGGACAATGGACAATTGGCGAGTGGCTAAAAGCTGGCGAGGACTCAAATCATAAGTTTCTAAACTTAAGAGAAAAGTATCTAGGAGGATATGAATCTGTATATATTTACATAAGAGTTCAACTGTTGAAATAGAGTTGCCAACACGAAACCTCCTGTCCCTCATTGCCTACAACCCAAGGGTTTTGCATGAAAACCAATATCCATGACAAACCTTTTTTATCGTGATTTGTCACACACAAGGCTCGTGTGTGTGAAACTAGTTGTTGGAATTCCTGGATTGACCCTGTGTTGGCTTACCAACTATTGAACCGACGACCACGTGGCCACTAAAATGTCGGGGCGTCACACATATTAAATCTCTCGTTGCTATGAATTTGTTAGATTTAATTTGCGTTTGGTGGTGCAGGGATTATCTTCTTAATTTGGTTAGGTCTAGGGCAACAGGATTTGGATTTGTTCACTCTGGAAATTCGATTTTGTTCTTTAGTTCTAACAATTTTTTGTTTATTGAATAATTTGCTTATTGGGAACTTGATATTTTGATAATATGATAATCTGAACATATGAATTCATAACCTTTGATAATTCGAGCCTCCATTACCTTCATTCGCACCTTCACACCTTTGCACATTCGCACCTTCGTAACTTTGTAGCCTCGAAACTTTGATAATCTGTCTTTGTCGAAATCGACTCGACCTCTACAGCTTAACAGCTTCGAAAATCTGCCAATAATTAGATTCATTACATTTTTCATCTTCGGGAATTTCCTTAAAATCCATACAAATGTGCTGCCATGTATGGTTAGGACTTGGGAGGGAATGTAGAAATCCCGGAGTTTTATCATGGTTAATATGTAATTGTCGGCAGGGATGACAATTGCTGATAAACTGATTAATAAATGACTTCATGCCTTTCCAGTAGTAGCGGGCCGACAATAATTATAAAGTTTTTTTAGTCCCAGGATGTGCTGTAGAAGGTTGTTTGTGGGCTTCTTTAACTAGAGTGGTTCGGATATTGTTAACATCAGGGACAACCAACCGATCCTAGTCATATATTAGCAGGTCATCCTTAATTTGAAACCAAATATCTGGTTTGTTCCGAGCTATATTTCTTTTATCTTCTAAGGAAGGGTGTCACGGACTGACTGAGGTGGAGATATTATCCTGCCAACCTCTGGCTCTAAGACTATATGGCTACTGCTATGTCATGGATAGATTCATGGTATTGAGGTAGAGTCTGATCCTAGCTTCGGCTGGTATCCCTCTAGACAAGTTCTAGTTACTTCGATGGAATTCTAAGCTACTCTGGCAATTAGTTTCTAGATATTTCGGGATGGTATTTTGTACTCTTACCAGTTCAATGGGCTTCGATTAGATTCTAGGTTACTCTCAGGAGTTCGACAGGAATCGGGTTGGAACTAGATTACTGTAGTCTGTAGCAGATAGTGTTGTAGTATAAGTAGCTGAGGTATCTTCATATCAAAAGCTCTTCAGCATTCAGTCTTGTACTATTCCCTAGATACCCAAGAATCAAGAATCAAGTCTTTGTTGTTGTTATATTTTCTTTACCATCAAGAGCCCAAGATTTAGCGCCTCCAGTTCAAGTTAAGTAACCAAGTCCCAAGAGATCCTGACAAAGGGTCCTCCTGATTTAACCGAAGAAGTTTTTCAGTAATGTGAAATGTTTCCAAAAAATTAACATTTAGCCAATAGGGAGACTCTTCATATTGACTACTCTGCAACAAGGCGCGTTGTCTTAACTGGGTTTTGGTCTTGTTCTGGGTTGTCACATCTTGGTTACGTCGTGTAAGAGCATCTGTAACAGCATTTGATTTCCCGGGTCTATACTTAATTAAGAAATTTA